TTTTGTTTGTACTTAAAATTTATGATCTCTGGTATAACAATGGAAACTAAACGCCATGGATAAAATACGTATAAAAATGAGATGATTTTTTTTATCGAGTCCAAGAATATGTAAACTTTTAGAGACAGTATAGATTATTTGACATCTACTGAGGCTATCAAGATTACAAGTCCTGAACAACATTTTATACAGTCCTATTAATGTATTCTCTATTTCATAAAATATTGTGGTAAACACAGCAGATTACATTATATTAACCAGAAGTCTCTGTCGAGACTGTAGCTCTACTGGTTTATACTTAAAACAAAGGAAGAGAAAAGTAGCAGTTGGGACTTGAGACTTTAAATCAGCAATAAATAGAAAAATGATCCTTGCCACTCATCAAAATAAAAACCAATGCACAGAATTATGTATCTTAGTATAGTCTACTTGTGTGCCAAGTTATACTGAAATCAGACCAAAACTGCAGGAGGAGTAGCATTTTGAAAGAATTTCACAGAAATTTCTATTTTTAGTAACCATGGGCAACATTGTTCATTGAAATCAAAAACCGATGCACAGAATTATGTATCTTAGTGTAGTCTACTTGTTTGCCAAGTTATATCACCAGAAGTCTCTGTCGAGACTGTAGCTCTACTGGTTTTTACTTATCAAAAACCATAGCACTATTTTATGTATCTTTGTGTATTCTACTTGTGTGCCAACTTATTTTGAAATCAAACTAAAACTGTAGAAGGAGTAGCATTTTTAAAGGAATTTCATAGAAAATTCTATTTTTAGTAACAATGGTAACACCGTTCACCGAAATCAAAAACCGATGCACTATTCTATGTATCTTAGTGTTGTCTACTTGTGTGCCAAGTTACATTGAAATCAGACCAAAACTGTAGAAGGAGTAGCATTTTAAAGGAATTTCACAGAAAATTCTATTTTTAGTAACCAAGGCAACACCGTTCATCGAAATCAAAAACCGATGCACTATTCTATGTATCTTAGTGTAGTCTACTTGTGTGCGAAGTTATATTGAAATCAGACCAAAACTGTAGAAAGAGTAGAGTTTTTAAGGAATTTCACAGAAAATTCTATTTTTAGTAACCAAGGCAACACCGTTCATCAAAATCAAAAACCGATGCACTATTTTATGTATCTTAGTGTAGTCTACTTGTGTGCCAAGTTATATTGAAATCAGACCAAAACTGTAGAAGGAGTAGCGTTTTAAAGGAATTTCACAGAAAATTCTATTTTTAGTAACCATGGCAACACCGTTCATCGAAATTAAAAACCGATGCACTATTCTATGTATCTTAGTGTAGTCTACTTGTGTGCCAAGTAATATTGAAATCAGACTAAAATTGTAGGAGGAGTAGCGTTTTGAAAAAATGTTTACAGACAGACGGACAGACAGACAGACAGACGGACGGACGCCGGACGCATTACTATCGCATAAGCTCTTCTGGTCTCTGACCAGTAGAGCTAAAAAGGAAGTGGGTTTAAATATTTTTTTCTTACATTAGATTCATACATGTAAGAATCGTTTTAATGGTGTAATATACTAGTACTTTAAACATATTAAAATTTACTAGCCATTTCCGGCGGAGTTGTGGAGGTGTCTATTGCCACACCGAGTAAGTTCCTTTTCGAAATCTTATAATTCATTTTTAAGAGATGTTTTTTCCGTTGTTACATTCCCATTAATTCATGTGGTTTGGCTACTTTGTTAATCTTGTTTATTTTGAAAATATTGCATTTTAGGTGTTTTTCATATTGATAGCATTTTTACGTCATTATTTTCTTCGCGTTCTTATTATTTATAGTTTTATAATATACAATTATTCAAAATAAATATTGGTAAATATTTACATACTTTTACTCGTGTATCTGGTTTCATAATATATATTTTGAAGTATCCTTTGTTTTCTAAAAATTATCTATTTTTTAGCTGGAGAACTGTAGTTTTCCAAAGAGAAAATGTATTGAACCTGTCTGTCAATATATTTCTTTTTGGAGAGCTACAGTTCTGCAGCTATTATTTTATGTCATGTTCTATTTTCTCGCTTTTCCCCCCTAAGATCAAAATTGACATATTATAATTTAAAACTGTTTCATTTTTTAATTCCAACGTATTTGTATCGCCGAACAAAATCAGTCAATAAAAGCAAAAAATTTTTGTATTATTTTTCTAAGATTCGAGTTTGATCAGTAATATAATATTCAGATTATAGACAAAACTTCATCATCGTCTATGGTAAAAATTAATTATTTTAACAAATTAATTTATTTTAATTGAGTTTAAATTTTTCTTTCAAAATTATTTCCCCTGTAAATAAAATTCCGACGCATTCTCTCGTTCGAATTTTATTGGTCATAAGTTGATAAAATTAATTTATTTTACGAGACAACAGTTAATAACACAAGAATGGAAATGTAAATAATTATATAAGACCAGATTAAAAATGGGGTGAAATGACCCAGGTAGGAGAGAGAAATGACCTACCGTGAAATGGTAGGAGAGAGAAATAACCTGGGAGAGAAAATTTTTAGAGAGAAATGACCTGACACCCTTCATCTGAGTTGGTATCTGTCTCATATTCAGTCTCAGATTGATCGTAATCAGAAATGTACTGATTCTCATTCACTCCATCACCTTTGAGTTCTTTCAGGTGGTCAACATGAACCACGTATGTTTTTCCCGTAGATGAATTTTGAATTTCATACGTTATATCGGACAATTTCCGGACAAGGGCATATGGTCCAGTCCATCCAGAGCCTAGTTTTTGTTGAGCCTTTGGAGGATACCAACGCCATACTAAGTCACCTGGTGAAAAAGCTCGAGGTTTTAATTTGTTATCATAATACCTCTTTTGTCTTTTAAAGCTAGATATTAAATTGTCGTGAACAGTGGAATAAGACAATTCCATTGAGTTTCTTACCCATTCTACATAAGAATGATAACATCCATTGTTCAGGTATTCACCTGGGAGTGAACCAGCTATGATATCAATCGGAAGCATTATTTCTCTACCCAGCATGACAAGGTTTGGAGTACATTTGGTGCTTTCATGTATGGTGGCACGGTACGCCATCATCAGATAGGGCAAGTGATCATCCCAGTTTGTTTTATTTTCATCAACAAAAATGGCAAGCATCTGTTGTAAAGTGCGATTGAACCTTTCAATCATCCCATCTGATTGGGGATGGTATGGCGTAGTACGGGATTTGGCTATACCTAAGAGAGAGCAAATCTCAGAAAATAATTCTGACTCGAACTCCCTTCCTTGGTCCGTGTGAATGCGGTATGGTGCTCCAAATCTGCATATAAACTCTGTTACCAATTTGTCGGCCACGGTCTGAGCCGTATGATCTCGCAAAGCAAAAGCCTCCTTCCATTTGGAGAAGTAATCTCCAATTACCATTATGTACTGATTGTCATTATTTGTCATTGGTAAAGGCCCAACTATGTCTATTGCAATGCACTCAAGTGGTCCATTTACTGTTACGTGCTGCATAGGCGATTTTCCTATTCCAGGTCCTGGTTTCTTTGTAGCACATGGTTGGCACGACTGACACCAACGGCCTATGTCATCTGACATACCTGGCCAATAGAATCTACTTTTAATAGACTGTAATGTTTTCTCTTGTCCTAGATGACCTGAGGTGCGATTGTTGTGCAGCTGGTACATGATCTCCCTTCTCAAAGACTTAGGTGCAACCATCTGGAGTATAACTTCTTTGTTATCATTTTCCCACTTCCGGTACAGTATGTTGTTAACAACACATAGTCTATCCCACTGTCGAAGTAGACAGTTTACTGTTGGATTAGGATTATTAACCTTGGGACGTTCTGTACACTCGAGTATAAAACGCTTTACTTGGCTAATAGGTGAGTCATCATCCTGGTGACTTTGAAGAGATTCTAGACTCCATTGTTGCAGCCAGTTTGATTCTGGTCGAGTGTTAGAATCACCTTCAGGATGTACACTTGTCACAACATTGACAGAACGTTCCGTTCCTGTAGAACATTGGCGGCAGTTCTCTCTCTTACAGCGTTTTCTGGGCTTTCTGGATAACCCGTCCGCATTTCCATGGAGATGGCCCTTACGGCGTTCAATAGTAAAGTCATATGTTTCTAGTAATGAGATCCAGCGCGCCAGTAAGCCTTCTGGCTCTTTGAAATTCTTCAGCCAAATCAGGGACGCATGGTCTGTTCTCAACAGAAATGGACGACCATATAAATAGTGCCTAAACTGCTTTACAAATGTAACAACCGCCAACAATTCTCTATAGGTTGTACAATATCCCATTTGGGATCTCGATAAGGTTTTACTGCCATAGGCAATCACAACCTCTTTTCCATCCTGCAGCTGTGATAAAACAGCACCAACTCCGTATGCGCTTGCGTCTGTATCTAATATAAACATATCATCTGTCGATGGGTAAGACATTATTGGCGCGGTTGTCAGCAAGTGTTTTAAGCTATTAAAAACTTTTTCGCAGTCCTCAGACCATTCGAATTTCCTGAGCTGTCTTTTTGTGTTAATCTCGTCAAAGGATAGGCTTCATTAGAAAAGTTTTCTATGAAGCGTCTGTAATAGGAAGCTATTCCTATAAAACTCCTTATTTCCGTCACTGATGTTGGTGTTGGCCAGTCCCGAACAGCGCTGATTTTCTCAGGATTACATCGGATGCCATCGTGAGATACAATATGTCCGAGGAAGGACACTTGCTCCTGGAATAAAACACATTTCTTTGGCTTAAGTTTTAAATTTGCGGATTTTAATCTGTCAAAAATTGAAGTTAGATTTTCCAAGGTTTCTTCAATTGTTGAGCCAAAAGTAATGATATCGTCCAGATATACTAGACATTGTTCCCACTGCAATCCAGATAGTATGGCTTCCATTAGGCGTTCAAAGGTAGCTGGGCTATTGGAAAGGCCAAATGGTAATACTTTAAATTGAAATAGCCCTCTGTGGGTTGCAAATGCTGTCTTTTGTTTGTCGGACTCATCCATGACAACCTGCCAATCGCCGCTTGCTACAAAAGTACTTTGCTCCTGACAGTGTGTCCAGGGACTCATCAATCCGTGGTAACGGATATGCGTCCTTCTTAGTTACCGAGTTCAACTTGCGGTAATCCACACAGAATCTAGTTGTCCCATCTCGCTTTTTAACGAGAACTATCGGTGCTGCCCAAGGGGAATTACTAGGTTCAATGACATCCTCCTTCAGCATTTTGTCAATTTCCTGTTCTGCTACCTTTTTCTGATGTATAGGAAGGCGTCTGGGAGGCAACTTGATAGGTCGCGCATCACCTGTATTGATGGTGTGTTTTACTAAGTCGGTGCGCCCTAGAGAACCTCCAGGTTCAATAAAAACATCTGAATAATGAACCAATACGCTTTTTAACATCTGCGATTGATGTTCTGTGAAATTAGATGAAACTTGGTCTAGTAATTGTCTTAAGTGTTCCGGTAATGCTTGAGCATCTGTTAACTTAAGGTCGGATTCTTCATTTTGAATGCTTTTGCAATCTAATACAGAGTCGATGGTTTGTAGCGAGGCCACCCTTGCATTCTTTTTAAGAATGATTGTTTCCTTTGTTGGATTAAACACTGAAAATGTTACGTTCGATCCGTTTGTTTTTACTATTGATTTTGCCATCAATATGCGATTCCGTATTTTGTCATCCAGTTCTGGTTCTATTAAAGCTTTAGTATCAGAGGGAAATTCATCATTTATCTTCCCTTGAACGAACATTTCACTACTTCCGGGTACACTGACAGTTTCTGCCAAATGAATACGCGCGCACCTGCTGTGCAGACGGTCTTCCCTAAGTAAGGGAACTTCACCAAAGTGAGGTGAATATAAGATCCCATTTCTTGTATCTATCAAAACATCGTACTTCACCAAGAAGTCTAGTCCTATGATTCCAGATAGGCCTCCGAGTTTTGCTACAACGACAGAGGTATTAAATTCGCAACCTCCAAATGACAATGTGACATTCGTTTTCCCTTGCACTGAAAGCAAGTCTCCGTCCGCAGTCGTTAAATTCGTATCCAACTCCTCTAAACTCAGATGTGCCGGAAGTGACTCAAATACATTCTCTGATACTAAACTTAGAGATGAACCAGTGTCAACCAAGAAACAAAACTTTTTCGAATAAAGTTCAACTTCAACAAACCAACAACTCTTTGCAATAGAGCTCAATCGAACAGGAACATTTTTAGTTGGCCTAATTTCTGTTTCATTTATTGACTCTTGTGGGGCTGGGCTCGTGGCCATGAGCACAGCCCGTTCTCGTTTAAATGACTAACGTCATTTTTGCTTCCATTTCCAGATTTACTAGTACCTTGAGTTTCAAGATTTTGATTGTGTGGACAATTCCTGCTAATATGACCACTCTGTTTACATGTAAAACATTTTATATTCCTTGATCCCATGTATCGCTTGGGCTGACTGTCTGGTTTCTGATCTACATACATACTAGAAAGTGTCTTTTGAACTATTCGCTCAATTGTGTTTTCCAGACCTTCATTGCTTGCATGATTACTAGAATCATTTCTATCCGGAGAAACCAATGCATTGCACTGCCGCTGCGGCAGTTTTTCAGTGTCTTTCGGTTTTCTCAATGTATCTTGAGATCCTTCAAAGGATTCAAATTCCAGGGCTAAAGAAATCGCGCGACCTAATGATTTCGGGTGCGAAAATTGCACGTATCTCTTCAATTCTTGTGATCCGAGCCCAGAAACAAATTGTTCTACTGTTAAGCTTTCGCGCATATCCAGGGGAAAGGACGAAAAAGCACGACTAGCTATTCGTCTTAGTGTATAGCCGTAATCCGCTACCGATTCACCAAACTTTCTGCGCCGGTTTCTAAAATCGCACCTGTATGCGGCTTCACGCTCGGCTGGGCAGATTCTTTGTGTAAGCGCGCTTTTAAGCTCAAAGTAATTATTCAGCTCGCGATTAGTGAGTTCACTTAGAACTCTTTGAGCTCGTCCTCGAAGGCACATGGCTAGCTGAGTAGCCTTTTCACAGTCCGTCCATTCATTCCAACGCGACACTTGTTCAAAATGGCACAAATAATCAGGCCATTCTACGCTTTCGCCATTATAAACATCGGGTTCTTTGTGCTTTCGAAACCTTTTTCCAGATTTAGGAAAGTCTGAAAAATCAGACATATTATGAAAATCTAATTTCATTTCACAATTCCTGTCAGAACCAAATTCAGGTCTCATACTTTTATTTTCCGGTGAAAACGCAGCAAATTTTCGCTGTTCAATATCCCGCGAATCGGGAAATTTTACATCTGTACTGTTTTCCATATTTTCATCACGTCGCGACTTTTGTCTTGTACTGTAGGTCACGTGATCGGAGAAATCTACATTCTGTTTGTTTACCGGAGAAAAACGTGTATCTTGTACCACAGGAGTTCGCGTACCTATCAATTTTACCGAAATTTTTAGCAAATAAAAAAGATACGTAATACCTATAATAATAACACAAGGAGTGCAACGATTGTCCGCGACGCCATGACGTGACGTCACGGGCGGTCCATTTACCCAAAAGGAACAAAAATAAACAATCATACACAATTAACTAGAGATAACGATATTACGTTTAGATACGAGTACAAGTACTTGTACCTCCCCGTTTTAAATTTTCTTGAATGTCTACTAACTTGTCTCTGGTTTATTTTCGCATATGACCTCAATCATCTAGATTAGCATTTCAGGCAGTTTTGTTCCTTTTTTGGGTAAATGGACGCGCCCGTGACGTCACGTCATGGCGTCGCGGACAACGGATATTTGAGCGAAGTTGTGGAGAAATGTCACCGCTGCTGCTGTAAAACATGAGTTTGAAATCTTATGCATTGAGAGCCATAAAGAATGGTCCCTTCCAAAAAGATTTGTTTGTGTTTTATAATTTTCGATTGAAGATTAATTGTGCGACAGCCTTGATATTAAGCGAGGGGTACCCAGGTGACCTAAAATGCGTTGCACTCCTTGTGTTATTATTAAACGTATTACGTATCTTTTTTATTTACTGAAAATTTCGGTAAAATTGATAGGTACGCGAACTCCTGTGCTTGTTCGTTATCTGCGATGCATTTTGACAATCTGTGAGGATAACTTAGATTATCGGTTCTTTCTTGATCAGACAAGTCTGATTTATATCCTTGTTCAACCGATCGATTCGGAGAAAACCTCGTGTGGAGCGTATCGTATGCTGAATCACTAGCATGTAAGTAACGAGAGGCGGATCTAGACAAATCTTTTTCTGTACTAGTGGAAACGTGTGCGGTTTCCTCTGAATCCTGAATACATCCCCATTTAGAGGATTTTTCGTCCAATTTACTTGGCCTACGCATAAAACTAGGTATGAAAAATTTCAAGAGAAACAGAATCCCACCCCAGAGGGACATTGTTTACAAAGGGGGGAAAACAGTAAATATACACTATAAAACACCGATAAATAACTCAATTATCCTCGGAACGAGCCCCCAAATATTTATGTAACGGGACCGTCTAGGGTCAGTCCCGTATTTTATAAAAGTGATATCCGAGTTCAAAGGATAACGAGATTTACAGTGTTTTAAAAGATATTGTATTCTGTAATATTAACAGATTCAACACAAAATATGAAATATAAACAATTACATATGAAACATTATCATAATATAAAATCCTGGAGAGTGTGATAATTGGTATTTACCGTTAATTTCAGTTAATTTGGCCCCGATCCCCAAAAGTACGTCTAATCAGTTCTAGTAAAAGTTAACGAATCCTCCAAAATACCCCCACCGGCCGGGCTCTATAGTCCCGACACGCGCATACGCAACCCGGACTGGCAAAGGGAAATAACTCTAAAATAAATATAAGACAAAACCATCACACAACGAATCATGTTTTGAAACAAGCTAATTCAGAGAATTCGTGTCCCCCGCTTAGGGAAAAAGTCGGCTCCCCCTGACTGAATTTGTAGAATTATTAAATGTATACATGTATACTGAAGCAAATAAAATACATGTATGTCAATATGTATATAAAGATTTGATTGCTTATTCTTTATTATATGTACAGAAGATTTTTTTTATATGGAATGTTTATCACACTGTAATGATGATTTTATAACCTCATAAATTTTTCATTTCACATGCTGAATACTATCATTTAGTAAAAAAAAAAGTGTTTAAAAAAAAAGAAGAAAGAATCGACCGAGATTCGATCCCGGGACCTCTCACATTTGAAGCGAGAGACATTACCACTACACCACGGAATCGCTTTAGACAGTGTGAAGTATATGCAGAACTGAAGTCACATACATGTATATATTCATGTTTTCATGTTCGGTATTCGCAAAATTTTACACAATCCATGGTGTTTGATTTATTTAGCCTTTATTAAACAGTTCTAATAGATGTAATAAGAACATAAAGTCCGCCGAGAACCTGTTTTATACGCAATAACTCTCCTCATGCCCCTGCGCTAAAAATATCGACATGTAACACTATAAATACTAATAAAACAAACGGGGCGGGGCACTTTGAGAGGGGCGAGAGACGTCCTAGGGAGTTTTGGTATAAAATTACATTGCATAAGCTCAAAATCTTCTTGAAATATCGCCCGGAAATGATAGTATTACACACAGACAGAATTAATAAATTTACGACCTTGAACTTTGACCTTTTGACCTCAAAATCAATAGGGGTCTTCATTAGGCCACAGGGAGTTGTTATATAAAATTTCATTGCAATAGCTCAAATGGTTCTAGAGATATCGTGTGGAAACGAAAGTGTTTTAACAGACAGAATTTGCTTATTTATGACCTTGACCTTTGACCTTTTGACCTCAAAATCAATAGGGGTCTTCTTTAGTCCATAGGGAGTTGCTATGCTAAATTTCATTGCAAAAGCTCAAGCTGTTCTCGAGATATCGTGTGGAAACGAAAGCGTTACAGACAGACAGAAAGACGGACGGACGGACGGACAGACGGACGGACGGACGGACGGACAAACCCAAATTAATATCCCCCACTTTTCAAGCGGGGGACAAAAAAAAGAAATTTATTTGCTTTGACAGTAAGATAATACAAAATTTTCATGTAATGTGCCATTTTTAATTTAATATATATAGTGAACAAAACAAACAGTTTAAATCTCAGATTTACATATTGTAACGATTCGTTGAAGAAGTTGTAGCCCCGGTTCGATCCAAAGTGAAAGTAGAATATTTTTTAAGTTTTTGACCTTTTTAAATCTTTGTTATCTAATGTGCTTCCAAATGAAAAGTTTCAAAACACCAGGACTATTCTTTTTAATGACCAGACCAAGTAAATCTTTCTCTGTATGATTATATTCGCCGTCAAGCAACATCTCCATGAACATCGAAATAAAGAAAGATAACTCTAATTTTGTTACGACAAAATTATATAAACTTTTTGATTGAAAAATATCTAAATATTTGTTCATTTCTTTGGTTTTAGATATATGATATAAATAACATCACACCACTGTTTTGATCTCTTCCCTGGTATCAGCCCTCGGATGGTCTCGGCCCGCGCCCACCGGGCTTGGGCCGATACCAACCGCTCGGGCTGATACCAGGGCCGAGATCAAAACAGCAGTGTGATATTATTTATATACTTCATCTACAAACAAATGACCGTGTTGTAATGTTGCTTACTTTGACTATATATTAATTTAGGGGAATGTTCCCTAGCCCTTTTCTTTATTAGAATATGTTCAAAAGGTGTTTATTGTTTGGTAAGACAATAACCTGTGATTTACCAACGCAACCTTGTACAGTTTATCCATTTAATATAAAATTTGGAAACAGTAGAAATGTGATTAAATTATTGAAGCTTATATACTCTTCAAAAAAAGAAACACATAGTAGGAACAATGCCCTGAAAAATGTGTGATAGTTTTTTCATACCTTTTATTTTTGTATGGATACGATGTATTCGAGTGAAATGCATGATTTTCCAATGCAATTGTTAATTTTACAGCTATTCTAAAAGTCTCACAGACAAAAAGACCCGATTTTGCAAAATTTTCCCCAAAATTTTTATCTCAATTTTCATTTGTTGAATTCCGATGCAATTCCTTCAGGTACAAAGGGGCTATCAAAAGCGGGGGTTCTCGATATTTTGAATCTGGTTTTATCTGAAAAATGACGCTTCCAAAAAATTCTGCATCTGAATGTTGCATGGCACAAAAAGGAAAATAGGCGACTGGAAGCAGGGGTACCACAATCTACAATTGCAAGAGGTTTTAATGTTACACACAGACCATATCTAACCTATAAAATATAAACCATCAACATCGAACACCCAATGTTCGCAAAAAATATGGTAGACTACGTGTGACATCAGCAGCACAGCATCACTTCCGAGGATTACGTAAATTGCATGAATGTAATGCAAGGACGTCATCTAAAGCACTAGCTATCCCTGAACTGCACAGATCATCTAACAAGACCGTTTTCAGTTGACTACGAATTATTGCAAGAGGATTATTCCTACCCCACAACACCCCAAATATCGACTTCAGAGATCTCAGATCAATAGAGTATGACCACAGCATCACTGCTGAACATTTTGGTTAACTTACTAGTCCAGAATGTTTATCTGAAAGCCTCTAATAAGTTTAAGAGTGCTAATGCTTTGTTATGAATGTTAGACAGATAACTGCCTCTAGGACGTTAAAAAAGTTGGTGGTGGTAGTGTAATGATATGGAAAACGGTATTATAAGAAAGTAAAATTGATTTGGTTCGAATTCAATGGACTTTGATGGAAAAAAGGTACTCTAACCATGTTCTACCTACACATACCCATTCAAGTTTGCAACATCCTAGAGCCGTATTGCAATCTCACAATACACAGCTCGTTTGACACACCTATTCGTGCAAAGAAACAACAACCTGTTTCAGCCACAGTCATCTAAATCGCTAGATTTAATCCAAATTAAGCAGCATTGGACAAAATGGATTGACATGATTTTGCAAAAGACAATCGCATCCCCAGACTCTGCAACAGCTGACCAAAGTTCTACATTTGAAGTAAGAGAGTATTCCTATGCAGTTTTTATTACACACATTTGCTTCCATTTGATGCCGTTTGTGGTTATCATTTGTGTCTGCGGGGGGGGGGGGGGCAAACCAGATATTGATCTTTAAT